TATGTATGTATGTAAGCAGGGCAGCTGTACCTTGGAGAAACTGTAATCTGCTACAACATCAAACCTGGGTGGAATGGCAGGAATCTCCGCTGCATAAAAACAAAAACATCTTCAAAAACATAAAATATTTTATTTTTCCTTCCCTGCCAACTTTATAAATTCATTTACAACCATCTGAATGACCTTTACCTGTCATTACTATTCAAATAAAGATGGCTTAACAACAATTTTATATATTTGGAAGAAGCGTGTACAGAAAATGGATGGATGGATGGATGGATGGATGTTTTGATAAAACACCTGTCTTTCTGCACCCAGACTCCAGAACGCACCGCCTCAGTCTATACACAGCTGTGATTCTATTGATGCTTTTAAAACACATATGAAGACTTTCTTTTACAAACAGGCTTTTAGCTCAGTTGTTGTTTTTTTTCTACCTGTCTTTTACTTGTACTTTTGTATGAATGAAATGCTTTTGTGATACTTTTAAATTTATTTTATTTTTCTTGCTTTTATTGTGAAGCACTTTGTGATTTTATATATATAAAAGGTGCTACAGTATATAAATAAACTTTACTTACTTACTTATTTAACTGGAATCCCCCGAAAGAAAAAAAAAAAAACCCAGAGCAGAGTAAATGTCTGTGTCTCTGGTGGTCTTACGTTCTCTGAAGGCSAGGCTGCTGTTGGATCCTGGAGCGTAGCTGAGCAGGACGAGGGGCTGAGAAGATAAAGTGCACGGTAGGTTGACCACCTTCATGTTGGCCTCCAGGGGCAGGTCGTGACCCAGGTACATGAGGCGCTGCTGCTGGAGCCCAACCCCAGTCTGAGACGCCACCTCTTCCAGGAACACAGACACTCTGGATGAGAGGAGGGAGGACAGKTTCAGACAGGACAAACATACATACAAGCATTTATTTAAGCTGCAGCTGTTTGGCTTTTTTTTAAACAAGATCACCATTTTGTAAAATAAATAATTAGGATCTGAACAGTAATTGATCATAAATGTGTAATAAAATAAAAACACACTAATTGTAACTAC